TATAACACACACACACACACACACACACACACACACACACACATTTAACTAAAGATATATATATTTAATAAAGATATAATAAAGTATGTATATATTTGTTTACAGACTTAAATCTAGATATAAAATTAAAAAATATGATTATTTTAAATCTCATTTATTAAATTTATTATTTTTCAATCGTATTACACATTCGATAATAATGTATAAAAAACAAAATCACTTTATAAAAAAAAAATTAAAAATGCGATATTGATAATTTTCTTTTTTTAATGGATTCGTTAAAATTTAAAATAATTTTAATAATAATTTAATGTTAATAATTTATAAAATTCAATTTTTTTCAAAAGTTTCCATCATTATATTCTAAATATATTTCTATATATTTCTTAAAAAAATATAAATATTTCTACTAAAAATTTCATTTCCTACTATCAATCCAAATATCATACTTTGTACTTGTATTTTAAAATATAATTCGAAAGATTTTCGGTATTGAAACATTTTATTAATATGAGTTTTATTTTATTTATTTTTATTTTGTTCTTTTTTTCATATTTCATTTTGTTTCTTTAGATATCAATACTTTATTTTTTATCATCTAATTTTCCTCTTTATTTCCATTTGATATCATATGTTATCAATTTCACTTTTTACAGATATATTTACTTAATTTGCTCTCCGTCATAGAATTGTGTGAATATGATTATATTTTTGCTTTCAGTGCTTCTTTAGATCATTTCTTTTCTCATTTGATTATTTTGAACGAATTATTTCTCTTAGAGAAATCGTTATCTAATATTCATTAAATGTTTAATTCCAAGCAATTTCTTCAATAACTTTTCATGGTTTCGAATCGATTTTTCGATTAAACTTTTCTACCTTCTTTTATCATTTACACGATTCGTGCACAATATTGTGCAATTAAGAAAATCCTTCGTTAGTTATTACCTCAGTTATTTAAATCTTAAGAATTCAATAACAAATCTTAAGAATTCTAGGAAAGTGAAAATTAAATTATCAAGATTTAATGAAGTTTTAATTTACTATTAGAATTTAATATTTATGATTAAAAAATTACTCTATTACTGAAATTATGAATAATTTCATTAATAATTAATATATTAAATGTTTAATTAATTAATATAATTATCAATAAATTAATAATTATTCAATTAATATTAATACATTAGAAAATAATAAAAATCCATTAATTATTATATGTTTAATTTAAAATCGTTTTTTTTTATTTTTCTAAATATTATTTTTTAATATTTTTTTTAATATTTTGAGTTTTTGTAAATATTTTCTAAAAAGTTTAATCGATTATTAAAAAGACTAATAAAAGTTTAATTATAAGATTCTTTAAAATAAATTGATAATCATTTATTTATTTAAAAAGAAAATATTTTAAAAGATATTATAGAAAATTAACTTCAATATTTAAATTTTAATTATTAAATTTTATTTTATTATTTTTTTTTTTTTTTTTTTTTTTACTATTATTCTATGTTTTCATTTTCATTAAAATTTATTTGTAGATCCTTATTTTAATTTATATTTTAAAAACTATTTAAAATTTATTGTGAATATAGGTATGTATAACATAAAACCTTATAAATAATCGTATAGTGTATTGTATGTGTATATTTTTTTGAATATCTTTGATATTTTGCTGGTTATACAAAAACGTAACATAGGGATGATTGGATGTCAATACTTCAACAAATCTCAAATTCAACGTTATGAACGAATTATCTAAAAAAAGCAAAATATTTGATTGATATTCAATACGATGAATAAATGTTCGTTGTTTTAATAATGATTGAATTGAAAAACAAAAAATATTATAGAAAATAGAAATATTAATAAGTATTTAATAAAATACAATTTGAAAATGAAAATAATAAAAAAGCTTTATACGTAAAAAATTTTGTTATAAATTTTGTTATAAAGATTTTATTATGAATATTTTGTTAATAAGATATCTATATTAAATGATAATTTTCAACTAAGCATCTCTGAAGAAATTTATTTAATCTTAGAATCTTAATTATGATTACGATGCGTTTGCTCTCTATTATGAAGTTTTCCCAGTTATACTGCATAGGTATTGATTGCAAATCAAAAAATAATCTTTCAGATCTGAACATTGATTAACCATTGTCCATTGATCGTAATAATAATAGGAAAGAGTATTGCCGGTGATCAGATTTCCATTGTTCCAATGATCTCGAATTTCTCTTCTTTAACTAATATACGAAGTGAAACACATTATTTTATTTTTTCTCTATTATATAACTCAATCACAATCTTTTTATTAAAAAAAAATATATATATATATATATTAGATAATATTTTAATTCAACTCTTTATCGTAATTTAGAAATTACTGGTCTGTCTGTAATTAAAATTAACATCATTCGTTTACATATTCGGAGAAAAATTTCTAATTTCAAATGGTAAAAATTGCGCAAAAATCAAAATTTGAAATGCAATATGTACATATAGGAAGAATATTCGGACTGTAGTGAATTTTATCCATGAAATGCAAAATAAAATTTTGAAGAATATATCGATTTCGAAGCAAAAAATGTAACAAAAAATAATGATTTAAGTATGGAATTTTATAAAGCATGAAATACGATCATGTAAATTTTCTGACAAATAAATATTCCAACAATCAATTAATCCAAAATCTATTAATCCGTAAATATGTACTAGCATTTCATTAATTCTATATGTTATATAATATTAAAAATTAACAAGAAGAAATTCATGATGTTTATTGAGCTTTTTGACAAATAGTTGATGAACTTTAAAATAAATTTCTTTACTTGAATAATTTATTTTATTATAAAAATGACTGCTTTTTGAATTGATGATCTGACATATTCTTTTAAAATATAATTGATTTCAATGATTAAAAGCATTAAAGTACAATTAAAATAATTATTTTATATATATAATTATTATATATATAATTTATATATAATATATTTTATATAATAATTATTATATATATAATTTTTAAATTTTAAAATCAACTTTTTTTTTAAATATATTAATTATTTATGGCTTGAATAAATGAATAAAATTAATATAATAAAAATGAATAAATGTAAATATTTGATACAAAAAGATAGAATTTTTTAATTTATACATTTAATTAATACTGTATAATAATATCAATCATAATAAAATTTAAAAAATAAAAAAATTAATACGAATTGATAATAACAAAAAATTATAATAATATTATTATTAATAAATATTAAACAGCTGAAAATTTCATGAAATAAAGTATAATATAGTATAATAATATAATAATATAGTAAAGTATAATAATATATATAATAATAATATATTAATAATAATAATATATTATTATTTGTACTATTATTATGCATAAATATTTAAATCAGAAATTGCGACATGAATTTATAATAGATAATAATGAAGAGTTTATTAAAATAAAAATTTAATTATAATTATAAATGGATAACAAACAACATAGATACATTAATTATATGTATGGTTTTTTATATTATAATTATAATATATATATATAATCGACAATAAAATATATATAGACATATATGTATTATAATATAGTATTATATATATATATATAATTGTAAATTTATTCAACATCATATTATTAATATATTAAAAAAGATAATTATTGATAGATTCTTATTCGATGAGATGATTTTGATGATTTTTAAATATGTTACATAAGAAAAAATTTTGAACAGTTTTTCTTTTGCATATTGTTCATTTAATTTTCAAGATATTTGTAAAAAAAAATTATTGCTACTATTATTATATAGAATTTTTCTTATGTATATACTGTCACAATACATCAGTATGTGACCGCTTTATCTTCTGTTAATGTAAATATATAGCGGCAGCAGGTAACTCGTTAACTAAGATACATAACGGATAAACTAATAGAAAATCTATTTCCTCATAAATCATGGTGAGCTAAAATATCTTAAATAAAATATATATTTAACAGGAGTTTGAACATTCTATGGATTTTTCGAAAAAATAAAATAAAATAAAACAACCCTTGAACGACCGAAATTACAACGAAAAGTACCAAGAATGATACTGATATTCATTATAACTTTGGTCATTGTAATTTCAAAAAATATCAAGAATGATGCTGATATTCATTATAACTTTGGTCATTATAATTTCAAAAAATATTAAGAATGATACTGATATTCATTCTTCATAATTTCATGCATTATAATTTCGGTCGCTCAAAAGTTCTATATTTTATTTTTGCATTTCGCAGATCCGAAAGAATGTCCAAGTTCGATGTTGTATTTGAAACATTTTAAGTTTATCACAATCCATAAGTAAATAAGTTTTTATACATTAAATAGTTAATATTCATACATTTTCAACATCGTCCACTGTGATATATTTTTGAATATATTTTAGAAATAATAAATAAGTGATAGTTGCATTTGTAACCAATTGAATATATACATAAGAGAAATTCTATATAAATAGTATCAATCCTTTTTTATAAAAATATCTTAAAAATTAAGAAGTGAGCGATAGTAATGTGCAAAAAAAAAAGATTGTTTAAAATCTTGTCTTCTATAATATATTCAAAAGTTATTAAAAATCAGAAAACCCTCTTATTTCGAATAATTAAAAGTTAGTCAGCTTTCAATCGGAAAATTACATAAACATTGTATTAATTAATAATTATTCTCAAAAAATGTTTTTCAAAGAATAGAAAAGATTAATATATTTTTTATGTCCTTATATTTGGTGAATGCTAAAAAAATTCACTGTAAACCTGCAAAGAAACATCATCCCAAAAATATTTTTATAACAAGAATATCTAAGAATTTATAAAAAAGTTTTCATTCAAGTTTTTATAAAGGAAAAAGAAACAGAAAATATGTAGTTATAAATAAAATGTTATAAAAAAACAATTTTATGATATTAGCACATTTTAAAGAAAATTCATATGCTTTCATTCGTATTGCTGCTATATCTATATATTAACTTCTCTATTTATAAATTCCATTAATTACTTCATGAATGAAATATTGTACAATATAATATTATGTCACCACGGATGAGATATCTTGCGAATTTGAATATTATTTATCAAAGGGTAGGAATAATAAATTTTATTTGAATAAAAATTGAAACTCGTGAGAAATCTTCTCCATGGCATTATACAAATAAAATAATTGTGTTGTAGAATATTTCGTAATTGCGAAGCGACCATTAATAAGATTATGAAAAAATATGGTAATTTTCATTCAAGTTATTTTAAGATCATAGTATAGTACATCATTGATTCAGTTATAACACTATAGGATCAAATATAAAATATATATTTAAAAAACTTAAGATTTTTTATCGAAAAGAAGAAAAAAAAATTTTTTTTTGAAACATTGTTTTATCATATTATCGGAAGTGCATAAAAAATCGCGATTAAGTTATTTTGTAAATCTTATATTTTATACAATATTTGAAATTTAAGAGTATTTATAAAGAATACTTATTATATTTTATATTGTATTTTAGATATATTAAATTGTATAATATATATAATATTTTATTTATATAATTGTGACTTCTAATTTTATTTTATTTAGAATAATAAAAAATTGATAAAGGAAAAATTGTCGATATACTCATAAAATTTATATCATGGAAAGATATATTTCATTAAATTATGTAAATTTTTCTTCTATTTATAATTTTTCTATCATTATTTTCTTCTTTTTTGTAATTTCATACAAAAGATGGCTGTTTTCTGGTTTACAAATTATTTAGTATATGTACACGATATTTTAAAAATAATAATAATAACTTGTTATAAATTATTCATAATTCAAAAAGCTGAACAACTTTTTTCTTTCTTCTTTTTTTTAGGATATATATAAGTTGAAAAGGCTCAAGAAATTGGAGTTCCTAAGATACTTAAGTCACGATAAACGTCCGTGCACAACATCACGACAGTACGGTACTATTTTCTACGCCATTACATCCTATACAAGGTATTCTGGACAATCAATATTTATTGCGAGGATCGTCAAAAGGAAGCGTCCTTTGCCAACGACCTGTGATCATGCTCAGCCCAAAGATGCAAAGAACTGGTAAGTTGTGAATGAAGTCTTCATTACTTCTAACTCAATTTATATTAATCATTTAATGTTATATCTTTGAAAAGTATTTTTATTTTATTGTAAAATATTTACGAATATGGAGAAAAAAGAAAATTAATAAAAAAAATCATTTTGCTCATAATGATGCGATTAGA